TATATATATATATATATATATATATATATATATATATATATATTCATTGTGACTATCACATGATTTGATGAGTTTTGGGAATGTTGTATATATACTTCAGATTTTATGACAATCTAGCACACTAGCTTCATCTTGACAGTGACCTCTAGTCTTCTTGCATGGAACCAGGCTGTCATCTCCCAAAGACAATTGCTACAGTGATTTTTTTATACCATAGATTAGTTTTGTGTGTTTCATAGCCTTACATAATCACATCATACAGTGCATTATATTTTGTCCAAATTTTTCTTCTTCTCTGAAGGAGGTTTGAGAGATTCATACACACTGTGTTGTAATCAGGAGTAGAAAACTTTTTATTCTCAAGTGATGCAGGGTTATCTGATACATCTTTCTAATGGATACCTATGCTATTTCTAGTGTTTGGAGAGAGCTGCTACGTACATCAAATCTTGTATGTACCACTTAGAAATGGGTACGTATGATCTGAACAACCAATGCTATATATTTTTAAAAACTCTGCCTTATCTTGTATTCTAAAGGCCACAACTTACTCCGTACTTTCCTAGTGCTGTACTGTATCTGGATGTTTATTTGCCTGGACTTTGCTCAGAGATTAAAAGAAAGCTGCACTTAAGTTTTTGAGATTTTTTTTAAAGTCTGTTTATTCTGTAGTCATTTGTAAGGTACCATAAGGTACTTTTCTTGTTTGGAGGAATGTGCCAACTTTGTTATTATCTTTAACAATAAGACATTGTGGAGACACATCATGCATGTGTACATGGTCACCCAGTATCCCAAGAGCAGGAGAAGGGTCTCGGCACAGAGGAGAGTAGAAGAGGTGTACCAGATGATGAGGAAAAGCTTCCTGGAGCTTGTGTAGCTACTGGAGTCCAGGGCTTGGAAAAGTTGTCCTGTGTGGCATCCTGATTGGGAAGATCCTGATTTGTCTAACAGGTGCTAGGGCTAAGAAGTCAACATTTCCCAAGTCCCAGTCTCCTTGTTTTCTTCCATAATGGATATTTCAGTGCATTCATTTTAGAGGCACAGTATCACTATGTAGCCCTTGACCCTCCTGCGGCTCCCAAGTATTGGGCTACAGGCATACAGGCATTCAGCACCACACTCTACTGTCAGCTCATTTTCATAACTGCTCATTAACAGTTTGCCTGATGTGATAATCTTGTCTTGAGTCTTGTTTTGTAAGTTTAGAGAGGAGGACGTCTGTTTCCTACCACCAGGGAGTCTCACTCCACTAGTGGGACCATTTAACTAATTATATAGACACCTGTGCATACACACATAGACAGTTATGTATCAGTATTAGGAAAATACTGTTGGAATGACAAGAATGTGTCATTGTGATCCCTATGTGATTCAAGTGTTTGAATTTAAATATTTAATTTAATTATTACATTTATTGGAAGACAGATACATGCTTCCATTTCCCTTACGATCATGTTGAGTCTTCTTAAGAAAGGTTCACAGAATCTCAGATTTCTTTTCTGGTTCATTTCTGATACCTGAGACATTTAATATGCCATTGGCTTGTTGGAGGCAGGCAGATTTTTATATTCAGGCATATCCCTAAAGTGTAGTCTTGTCCTTCAATGCTGTGGGGTCTTAATAAATCCCAACTAGTCTAAAAATTAGTTGAACCCTGATCAACATGAAACTGCAGAAAAGCTCTTAAGGAGCCAGTCAGCAAGAATACTGAGAACTATAGCCCACTCTCCAAGAGGGTCATCATCCCAGAAAAGCAGCGAAAAGTAGTGGGTTCCTATGTAGACTGTGATTTCAATATACTGGGTATTAGGTAAAATCAGAGGCTGGGTCCTTTCTGGCAACTATTCAATGTCTACTCCCATCATTTTCTCATAGGACACTAACTTTTAGCATACTTTTATTTTCACCTGGGACTTGATAGATTGCCTTCAGTTCCTTCTGCTCCTTCCTCTTTTCTTTTCTTCCCCCTTCTCCCACTCTTTCCTTCCTCCTTCCCTTTAAGCTAAGGGAAGGAACCCAGGTCTCCATATTCTAGGCAGGGGCCACATCACTGAGCTACACCTCATCCCATATTTTCTTTTGTAAGTTCTATTGTTCTATCTATCTATCTATCTATCTATCTATCTATCTATCTATCTATCTATCTATCTCTACATATGTTCCCTTGTGTGTTTATGTGTGGAGGTCAGAAGACAAATGGTGGAATTACCTTTTCTCTTCCACTGAGTGCTTTCCAGGTATTGAACCCAGGCTGTTTGACTTATGCACTGAACCATCTCACCGAACCTAACCCTCACCTATCTTAACCCAACCCTGGCTGTTTTTTTTTCAAGAGCTTTTTCCTATTACACAAGGCTTTAAAACTTCTATTATTTAATGATTATAACATTCATAGATTTTCAACCTCCTATTTCTCTTTTGCCATATTAAAGATTAGCCTCCTCTCTGACTGTATTATACACACCAGCAATAGCATGTTTGAATTAGACCTTTGATCTATTACCGTAGATGATTTCTTTAACACTCTTAATAGGCACATTCACAAAAGATTCCCCTAAAACACATAAATCAACTTAACTCATTTTGGCTGCTACTTTTCTTACTATTCAGTCTATGTTATCACATATGAATGTCTGCCAGTTCTGTTTTGCCTACAAATAGCATGTCAAGGTCACTGATTTCAAACCAAGGTTGGGAGTGTCCTCAGGAAGAATCTCAGTGGCTTCTTTCTTCAGAGGACTCACAGATGCATCTTGTGATATCTGCTCCATCTTGTGTTTGTTTCTATTTTGGAGTTGTCTGTCTTATCGCTTGGGCATCAAAATTGTCCTTCAGGGTAGATTCACTGTTTGTTGTATTTCCACCTTATTTTAAATGCGAAATCCTAATTGTAAGTGGCAGGTTCATAGGTTAAAGTAGTTTGGGGAACTTTCTTTATGGCAAGTAAAATCCTAAAATCTGCATTTCAGTGAGCTGATTTTATTTTATGTTTTCCCCCTTAGGAAAAAGATGACCACTTTGAATCTGTTCAGCTGAAATCCTCAAGATGCCCCAATATATGAAGAGACAGTGCTGTAGCTTTCAGACTGATGAGCAAGGACACCCAATCTTTAATTTTTCAGGACCCCTGTTAGGACTCGTCCTCACACCTGTCATGTCTGTGATGTCACAGAGGAGGTGTGCCACCGAGAGGAGGAGGCAGACATACTGATTGCCTTATAACAGGTCACATACTTTGTCAAACTACAGAAGACAGATGTTCTGGGTCTCACTGAAGATGAAGCTTAACTCAGGAAGAGATTTAGCTGTATATACACATAACTGAAACCCAAGTTTAAGCCCACCAATGCACCGCTGATGCATGCCATATAATTACTGGATAACTTTAATTCTTTATAATGTCTACATAAAAACGTGTATTGGAAGGCAGACATAAGCATATACCTTGTGTTCCCACGTATTTTTTGGTCTTGTAATTTGGGAGAAGATTTGAGAGAAAAAATTTATGTTATAATTATTTCCCCTTTATTTCCCAAGACTTGAAACATCTTTTCTATTAAAATTATGAGTGATGAAAGAAAATAAATTTTCATAGGATATTTTCTCTTGACTTCAGAAGTCTAGAATATCAGTAATATTTTTGTGAAGTTATTTACTTGGGTTATCAAGGCTGATTCTTGCTTTTAAACTCCACCTTTGTTGGAACTAGTATGAAGAATTTAACTAATTGCTTGAAGGGATCTTAAGGAGGAGGGAATAAAATCCATTAATTCAAACAATCTGCCATTATCAGAAGTCAGAGGGTGATTTAAGGCAGTTCAAGTGTTGCTGAAGAATAAAGCAAGTGGAACACCTGCACAGTCATGAAAGAAGCAGGAGTGATGACTTGTCTCTACATACAGATGGACAACTCAAGGGCTCCACAAATGTCTGTGGGCCTGTCCCTCACAGCAGGCAGACCCCCAGAGCTTTGGTGGTTTTTTAAAATTTTTCCTTTGCTACAAGACTTCGAGGATTATGAATTTCTTGGAAAATTTTATTTTTAAGTCAGTAAGGAAGAAATTCAATTTTTGAAATGCATATCCTTGTAGTAAGAATCTTATTAGCAGTTATGAAATATGTATTGTTCCTGTTCAAAAGTAACCCAGAAAATTGTGACATTCCTTATGATGGATTGTGAGTATTCGTGTGACTTGGATATTATATTTGGAAGAAGTTTGAAGGTGAATTTGGTCAATTTTGTGTAAACTCTTAGCACTGGGAAGGAAAAGAGTATCTTGCCCATTGTTGGTCTAAGATGTTCTGTTTTGTTTCCAGCAAACTGTAATCTTTACAGATTTGAATCCAGAAATTTAAAGAGTGTTGATTGGCTGAAGGAGGAAAGGGCCCTATGTTTTTGCCTGAGGTGTTTCAGTGACTTGTAATGTTTGATTCTGTGGGTGATGTAGTGTTTTATTTTTGTGAAAAATGGGAGAAAATGAATAAATGAATAATTGTGCTTATTGGCCAGTGGGTAAAACACTCTACCTTTTTGCCATCACTAAAAGATGTTATTTTGTTTGTGTGTGTGTGTGTGTGTGTGTGTGTGTGTGTGTGTGTGTATCTGTTATTAAATACAGATATTATTGTTTGTCTAAATTGAAGATAATGTTAATTAGCATTTTTGCATTTAATTTCTAAGATATTCTTCTGAATAAGAAATTTTGGCTTTGCTCATTTTTATCCCACTATTAGAGTATTGGCATCCTTTCCCTATCATAATCAAAGTTTAATCATAAAAGTGGGAATACACTTAAAATATCATTCAGAGTAAGCCGGCCAACATGTGCAGTCAGACTGGACAGAGTCAGAGAGCTCCTTCCAGCACCATCATCCTTATCTCCTGCTCTGCTCGACACCCATGATTCAAGCCATAGAGATAATTGGGATTAGCTCACAGGTAGATCTTTCTCTGCTTGTCACCAGACTAAAATCTGACATGTCAAAAAATGCCTTAAATTTTAATGAACTCTCCAAAAATGCAGTTGATATTGAAGAAGTTATTTATTTTATTTCTAACTTTAGATATTAAATAGAATTTTGTCAGTTTGTCCCATCTTTGGATTCTCCTGGCTTGTCATTTTATTCTTTGGATTCTCCTGGCTTTTCATTTTATTCTAAGAGCTACAGAACCATGACATTGAGAATATTATGAGGAGAATATGCAGACCAATTTTAGCTATACAATTCTGCTTAATTTTATGTATGGCCTTTGATAAGCCCAGTGAAATGTTGAAAGGTATAAGGAAATTATTATGTTTCTATGATTTCTTAATTGACATTTATTCCTCTTATTACTACCAGAGCTAGAAAAATGTATTATTTGTTTTTTTTTCTCTCTAAAAGGCATAGTTTGGATCCTTAAATACTTCATTAAGTCAACTGTTGCCTATAGCATTTCCCAGCACTGTGTCAAAACATATTCCAGTCAATTTCCCACTGCATGAGAACATGTCTTCTGTCTTCTATGGATTAGTTACATTATACCATTTAACAATGTTGAGCAATTTGATATGTATTCACTTGATTTAAAAGACTGAATTTTATTATTATTGAACTCTCACCTTTTGGTTACTAATAATCATATCCTACTTAGGATTAAAAACATTTCATAGTACCTTTGTGTAGACTTTTGTCATTATTCTATCCCAAAAATGATGGTTTCAATCAGTACCATGGAAAACTTCCTTGAGTCCAGTTATTCACCATCTGGGTTCTCTGGTAGTTTGATAGCAGTCGGTTTTGCTTCTTCTGTAAGTCCCACCTGGCAAACTGTCATCTGATGTCTTTTTGGTATCAGTGTTTCCCATGGCTCATGGTCATTCCTTATGGGATGCTAGTATATTTCTGTTTTCCTCCTGAAAGCCAATTGCTTGGTTAGTGTGGGATGTGTTGCTCATTTGCGTTCTCTTATTGATGGATAGAAGATATCTTGTGAGGATGGGATGTTGACATAAAAATAGTATGGATTCATGAGACCTGGTACCAGGGAGGCTTCCCTGCTTTATTTATGACATCTGTTCATGTATGGTATACCTGGATTCTCACACATTTACCAGATCCTGTTTTAGGTATGAAACTAAAAATTGTATTTAGTCTTTCTTTAATGATTGTTGGTTCAGCAAACACCTCCAGTTTCTTTGAATGAAATGTCAAAACCTTGGTTAGCTGGATTTTTCTTCATCATAGTAACTCATGGAAGGGGGCTCCTTTAAAAATAGTGTACGCATTTCGGTGAAATTGGAGTAAATTGAGCAGTATTTCCTTTATGTCAGATAATTGATTTCAAAATTCTGTTTTGGCTGCATTTCAAATAAAAGAGTAAACCAGTAAAAACTATGTAAATCCAAGCCTCCTGCTGTTGCAAAGAAGGGTAGGTAATTTCCACACCTATGGGTGTGCACCTGTGCCTCAGTTTGCTAGTTCAAATCTATATTTGTGGCTTTTTTTCAGCCCTGCCCCCCACAGCCTTTTTCAGACAAGCTATGGGATTTAGAATAATCAGGACAGGCAAATGGATGAAGTAGGGACTAGCTGAGAGAGCATGTGGATGAGAGGTTTATAAAGACAGAGGTTGCCTTCCTCAGCCATTCTTTACATCTGTCCAAAGCTAGCTTGCCTCCAAGTTTTCAAATAGGAATGGCTTTCCTTCACCATGCTAAACTTGGGTGGGCAAGAAGATCTATTAATGTTTAAGCTAGAGAGGATGCTGAGTATAGTAACTATTCAGAAACACAAAAGCAAGCAGACAGCTAGTTAGGACCTATTATTTAGCTTGGAAGTCTTAAATTTAGGGAAGTTTAGCAGAGAGGCACCAATAAGTTTTACATTTGGGAAGGATGAAATATTGTTACTAATGCAGAAAAAAAAAAGCTTCCAAACCTATTTTTTAATGTATAAAATGGCTTGCATTAAAAAAATCTCATAGTATCTGTTTTCTATACATATGTTGAATATTTATAAAAAATGATTTGTAGAGATCACATGATAGATGGTACACTTTCTAGTTAGAAATAAGGCTTGTAGCAAGGATGGAGAAAATGGCAAGAGCTTCCTGTTAATGAATTTTCAGTGTCCTGACAGGGCATAAAATATAAAATATAGTGGGTATGGATCAAAATCCTGCCCTCAAAACTACAGTTTTCTCATGGTTTAGACATGACCCTGATTGTCTTGCTTTATGATCCACAGTCAGCTTGATTGTTAGAGGCAGCAGCTGTAGCTCTGAAGAGCCCAGCTGATAGTGCTTTCCTCAGACTGTCACCTTCCATCAGTGGACGGAGCACATTCGTTCTCATCATCCTTGCTCAGCTGATATCCTTCACAGATGCTCCTCCTGAGTGTGCTTATCATCTGGCTCTCCTGCCAACTGCAGTCAGAGTGGAGTTTGGTTTGTTATTTAGTGTCTGTGCACCTGCTACCCATCCTACCCTAGGTTACTCCCAAATTGCAGGTATTCACATGAGTGTGAGAATTCAGGAATCAGTGAGCACCACTGTTCTAAGCATCAGGTGGGTGTAGTGGATTCCTTAGGTTGCCCATTCAAATTCATGCAAGAGAGAACATTTTCTAGCATCCTTTTCCTTCAAGGGCAATCCCTTTGGCCTTCATGTCCCTGCTCATTAGTTTTATATATAGTAAAAATATTATTACTATTCAAAAAATACTGCCTTTCATATATTTAATTCTTCTTTCCTTTCTCCATCATTCTTGGCCACAAGTCCTGCTTTTAAAATATTTTCTCATGAACTCAAATCAAATACTTTATCAACTGAGTTATATCCACAGCTCTAGTGTATACTTTTTAACTGTATTGGTCTTCCTGTTGTAGGCTAAATAGTGGCCTCAAAAATGTGTCCACATCCTAAGCTCTGAAAAATGAGAATATGATTTTATTTTAAATCTAAAAATCAAAACAAAACTACCACCACCATCACCATCACCACCACCAAAAACAAATGAATGGCCTCTGCAGATATAAGAATGTCAAAGTGATGGTATCCTGGATTGTCTAGGTGGCCCAAAATCTAATGACACATGACATTATAAGAGACAAAGTACAAGACAGAGACAGTGGATATTATGATATGAAAACTGAACAGAGTTTGAAATGACATGTCCACGGGCCACGGAAACATGTGACTATAGGTGCAAGAAAAGGAATGGAGTTGATTATTTCTTTGAATCCATAAGGGAGCCTGTGTAAGAATTCAGGCTTCAGGCCAGCAAAATGCCTGAATCCTTATAGCCTGTTCCTGCGGATTCTTTAATTGTGACAGAATAAATTTCTGTTGTTTTAAGCCATATAGATTATAGCATTTCCCCCATTATCACAAGAAACAAATGTACTCTCTGCCCCAGGACGTGATATAGCTTCTACAGATAGATGTGTTCTCAATATTTTTCCAACAATAAATTAATTGCAACTAAAAGTTTGCTAGAAACAGGGTAGTATTTACTAAAGTTTTACCCATACTATTCATGCCTTATTTTAGGTTAGTAAAATATTTAAATTTAATGATAATCTTGTGTGCTAGAACATCATTCCTAGGACTTGGGAAAGCAATGAGAAGTAAGATCTCCAGGGTTTCTACTTCTCCATTCATCTATTAAAGGCAAGAGTGTCTTCCCAATGGAATTATTTGATGTTTTCTGGTTTCTTTTCTATGCTTGTTTTTGAACATGAGATCCATCAGACCTTTCCTGGTGGGTCACAACTCAGCTCCCAATCAGGATATATGGAAGACTTTGCCTCATTTGACAGACCTGGACTGTAATATAGACATAGCTTTAAAAAGATTTTATATATATCATTAGATAGATTTGTATTTATGGTGTCACCCCTTGCCGATTTCTGATCACTGTTATCTGTAGAAAAGTAGGATTCCACTCACAGCTCTCTGGCAGGGCTACAACTCAATTCAAATATGTGACTGTGAAGAAAAGCACAGTTAGACAATTACTTCCAACATCAACAAGAGAAGGTGACTTGAAATCTAAATATTCAAATTACCTTGAGGGAATCCAAAAGGACAAACTGTTATCCACCATGCTTGAAAACCTTGAAGGTTTTATTCTGGTTATCTTTACATTAATACAGATGCTTTTTATTTTATACTGAGAAAAACAATCTGTTACACATAATGTAACTTTAATATACAACGTAGAAACTCACCCTAAATTAGTTACAACAAGAACCTACAAAAGACTTCATAGGAAAAAGTTACCTAATATTGCCATGGTATAGGGATATTTGTTTGTGTGTTTTGTTTTAGTAGACTGACCCTGTCAGACCCTGTCACCAGTGCTCAGCTCTGTAAACAATGTTATTTCCATGTTTAGGGAGGGGGTTATTAGGGGCACTAAAATCAGCCTAGAAAGTTGTAGCACATCACTATATACCGAACAGTCCTCAAAAATAATTTATTGTACTGTTTCTAAAAAAGAAAAAAAAAAGGTACTAGGTTGTTCTTTTGTTCTGTTTCCGTGTTCTGTGGCAGCATCTGAGCACTTTGTCTAACAGCCTAAGAACATGAGAACTGAACTGCATGTCACAATCACAGAGATGAGGTGGTAGAGTCGAGGACTTCCCTTCCGTTGCACACCGTCGGGACATATGTGCTTGCAGACGCTGCAAAAGAAAGTGGGACAGGAGGCTTAGGTGAGCAGGACACTGAGTAATGACATCAATACTCCCAGACACTGTTAAAACTAAATTAACCCATTTTAACCATGGCTTTGGAAGATGTTTACTGATTTATGCTATAGTAGATAAACTGTCTAAATATTTTCTGCTCATTAGTTTGTATCTTAGAGTGTGCCTCCTCATGCCATGCCTCTGGTAAAGATTATAAGCATAATCTTTGCTGAAAGAAATCTCTCATTGAAAATTAGACTTAATATCTATAAAATGGTTAAAATATACTGAATAAACCAAAGGGCCCTATATTTTCTTATAGGTGATTAAATTATTTCCTATATTCAATAATTGTAATTGGTTTTGATCTCTAATCAGGGATGACTCTTCTTTGGCTCCAGGGGTCCTATGTGAAATCTACTGCCTTAGAAAACTGGTATGATTTCACTGTTTGTGTTGCCTATGCTCTGTGAGGACTCAGGCAACGATGAGTGCTGAGAGTTCTTGAAATGAAGGCATTCCAAAGAGACTTCATGACAATGGTGGTCTAAGTGTCATGGTTCCTGTATAACAGAGTCCTGTGAAGTCACTCCTTTTGTAACAGTTTTCTCAGATGCAATTTCTACCTGTTGACATCTTGGTTGTATATGATGTTTACCTACAGAGTACTTATATTTATTTTGCACCTGATAATCTTTTCATGGAATGAAGACATAAAAAGGAGCCTCATTCTTCCTTGGGATGAAACCATATGGTCAAGAGTATAGGCAAAAGTGAGCTTACACTGCCTTTTAGGTCTCTCCATCTATCCTAATCTATATTCTCACCCCAGGAACCGGGTCAGCAGAACACAGCACAGTTACCATTAATAAAACATCTTCCTATTCCTTAAAGACACATGAACTAATTTCAACTCAAGTGTTCATGTCTGATAACATGTATTATTGACCCATGAATTACTTTCTGTATAGCAATTTCTCTAAACACAGGGGAGTGACTAACAGTGAGATTGTAGCTTATGCAGCATTATAAGGGAATAGTCACCATATGTAGGGCACTGACATCTTGTGGCTGGGTCCACTACTAGCCAAGCTGAAGCCTTTCAACTCAGTGATTTGAGTAGGCATGTGAGAACATCTTTGAAGTCTGTGACCTGAAATGACTGGTGTCATGTAACAAGCTAAGTCTTTGGTAGATTTTTTCCTGCTTAGCATAGATAAGCCATATTAAATATGTTTCTTTATAGCCTCCGGTAGCTTCAAACTCATAATTCCCCTGCCTCTGTTTTTTCAGAATATGCCTACTTGTATGTGTCACCACATTCAATTTCTTCCCCAATTGACTATAAATCTTTGAGGAAAGGGACGACATGTGATAAACTTCCTCACGTTTCTGCTGTGGAGACAGTGATAACTAGTATATGCCTGGCAAAATTTGATTGAAAAGTCATGATGATAATGATTCCAAATGTGAGACCTTTGGTGATTTAATTCTTCTTTATTTTCATATGTTTTGTGAGGTCCTAGAATCAGGAAAAGTTCATAAGGTGAGAGAACCAGGGAAGTGAAGCTCCAAACACAGATCACCGGAAGCAGAGGGAGTACTCCGAGGCACTCAGTATGTGTTTCTCTGTCTCCAGCTGCCTGCTTACATCTTCGTGGGGATATTTAGCAGTCATTTCAAAACTGGAGTCCATAGAACTCTTGATTTTGTGTAGCCTTTCCACAATTAGTCTTCCTTTCCTCAGTAAATGGTCTTACCTTCTAACCTAGACCAGAAGTCTAAAATTCATGCTTGATTCCCCCGTGCCCCTTTCCCATGGCAAAGCCATCATCAGGTGCATTTAGCTCTAGCTGTATGCTACCCTTGCATGTCTGACCCTGTGAAATGCACTGTTAATGAATTGTATATGTGCAGAGGCTGACAGGAGTGGTAAATACTACTTACATTTCTCCTGGTCATATGCTTTCTACACATCAGTAAGACTACAGTCATTTCTCCATACCTGTGGTTCCACATTCACAACCATTCAGAAAAAAAAATGTGCATACTGATCATATTCAGAATTTTTCTTACATTCCCAATGTAATTACTGTTTATACAGCTGTAAATGGAATTCTTAATTGGTCTACATAATAAAAACCCAGAGTCAGATATACAGGAAAATCTTGAGAGATCAGAGAGAAGAAGGAGCAAGCCCCCAGACGCACCTTACCTTCTCAGCCTCTCAACAGACAAAAGAACAAGTTCCCGTTTCTCCCTGCTTACATCCTGTTTCTGCCCAACTATCTCACTTCCTAGCTGTCTGTACAGACCTCCAGACCTCTATGGCTAGTTAGTGGCAAATCCATTCTCTGACTTTCAGACAGGCTTTATTTGTACATGCAAGCTATCACCACATACAGCAGTCAGACTGTATTGGCCATGATAAGAAATATAGAGATGATCTGAAGTTTACTGGAGATGTGTGTAGGTTATTTGAAAGTTTAACCCCTCACGAGGAAGAATTTCTGAATCCAGTTCCCTGGATACTGAGGGTCATCCCCTGTGCTTTATAACTTGGATTTAGAAATCTCAAATAATTGGACTGTGCCTTTCATTCTTTTTTTTTTACTCATGCTATATATTCCTGCCACCTTTGCTTTTTTCTCCAAATAGCAATTACATTGGTCAACTTTGTGTCTTTGCCATAGCTGTGGCTTCTACCAGGAACAATGTCTCTAATCATCACCTGCCTCATTCGTGCCATCTACAGTTGGAATGTGACCTCTTGGATAGATGTTCTCAGCTATCCCAATCTAAAGTAACTCTCCGTCATATCACCCAGTTTGAAAATCCAGGCCAACACAGATTATGCTTCCAGACTCCTCTGACTCCTCTCCCTCTTCTTCTCTGTTGACCAGAAAATAATCTCTAGTATATTTCATGAATAGACTTTCCCATAAATATTTCCTGAGAGATTATATAAATATTTACATTTCTAAGATGAGGAGATCAGTGGGAGTTTTAAGAAGGAAGTGACATACTTGTAAGGTCTGTAAGCAGCTGCCTTTAGGACAGGTGGACTTTTCTGCTTCTATGTCACATTGGGGCAATGACTACTAGCTACCCTTGCAAGGAGAACTGGTTCAAGGTGAGAACCCCTGATATCAGATATGCTGCCTTTGGCATTTTGACTAATTCCTTTGTCTTTTCTAGGATCAAGTTTTATGATTTCTTTGCAGGCTTTTCCTTTTCAAAGACTGAAGAGGAATGAGGATATATAATGGGGATAGTGAAGGATAACAAAGGTCTGACATGCTGATGCCTCTGTCTAACATGGACTAGTCTAAGCCCTTCTCTGTGCTTTTCTTGAGGTGATTTCATAAAGCTGTTCTGATGTTCCAAGTCTGCTTGCAGAATGTGATTGAACTCTTGTTCTTTGAAGTACTCTCTCATGTCAGTTTTACTGTCAGCATTTCGACTGCTTACCAATCAGTGGCACTTGACTAGGTAGGAGATACAACAGCTACAAAGGTAGCTGCATGACTTCCAATAGTCTACTCTGTACTCCATGGACATCATTATGGAAGTTCATGGAGCACTCTGAGTCATATGTCTGCTCTGTAGGGATATTAAAGGGGACATCCTCTGCTGGAGTACAAATTCCAGATCTGCTCACAAAATAACAACAGTTAAGATACTCATTAGACTCCTGCAGGAACTTTCCCCCAGACTCTTTTTGTCTATTAAAGGGATTCCACTTTGTAAACTTCTGCTTTTCTTTTACTGTTTCTCTGTGGCTTTGGCCATTGCATTTTATAATGTAAAAAAAAAAAAATCTCCCTTTTTACAAATGCTGCTCAATATAGTAGGAGAATTATTGTTTTATGAGTTTACCATCACAAATACTTTGCATTTCATAAATATTTACATGTACTTCCCATATTAGCCCATCTATTATTCCCTAAGGTAGTAAAATATGTAGAAAATAAAAATGCAGTCATTGTGTGTATGTATGTGTGTGTGTGTACGCATGCACCTGTGTTCTTATGATGAGCCTTTGTTGTTCTGATGAACTTCTCATGAGGTTTTTAATGGTGTAAGTTTGGCCTGTTTTCTTAAGTGTGGCTAAGCAGACTTCTATAATCATTTTGTCTGCAAGAAACAATAATCATGCAGGCTTCTTTGAGGTTTTCTGGGCATGTGGGACAAACAGCAGCTGTTGTCTGCTCTAGGCTAAAGTAGTACTCAAAGTGAAAACTGAAAATAGCTGGAAGAGACCTTGTAGGTTTCATTATTGATCACAAAAGGACAATTTATACCCAAGGGAAAAAAACACATTTTACTTCACAGACATGGTAAAACACTGATCTGTGCAGCCACGTGGTAGTCATGGCTCCCTGTGTGGAGTCAACTTCCTTTCCACTGCTCTCACACACACACTGGCCAGGCTTGGGAGAAAATTATGGCTTTTTTTCATGTAACTGGACTCTTGATCAATGCTAAACATATTAATTAGATAGATTCTTCTGGATGCCAAACCTGTTAATCAACTAAGAGACTGGCTCTGAGAATTAATGCCTTATCAACTCTGTAGTATATTAAACTTGTAAGAAAATAAACATTCCAGCAGAGCAGACATTCTTGCTTTCTCCCATACATTTGGTTTTCTTCTTCTCGGTGACCTCAGATAATTATCCCTAGGATATCTGCTTATATTTTTAATAGTTGTGGAATCCGGTTTCTACCGGCTGCAAGCCTCTTTGTCCTCCTCCCTCATCATTAAATCTGTGTTCTCACTCATTTTCTCAATTTTTCTCATCCTCTTTCAGAAGTTCATTTAGTGATCAAGATGTACTGTTGGGTACCAGTGTTGCAGTCTCGTATCATCGAGATTTCAAGAGGAAGGCAGGGCATTCATTTTTAAGACATAAAGCGTAACTCTAGATTGAATTCTCAGCAAGTATTTATTTTACTAATTCGAATTGTGATCTAAAAACTATTAATATAGA